TTGCCCTAGCTGCTTTGGCTCAGTGGATAGAGTGTCGGCCTGTGGACTGAAGGGTCATGGGTTCAATCCCAGTCAAGGACACATGCCCAGGTTATGTGTTTGATCCCTGGTGGGGGGGCATGCAGGAGGCAGCCAATCAATTATTCGCTCTCATCATTCATGTATCTATCTCTCCCTCACCATCTCCCTTCCTCTCTGAAATCAATAAAAATATTTTTTTAAAATTACGATATTGATGCTAAAGCAGAACTAAGCAATAAAATATAAATTAAATGATAATTAAAATAAAAAATAAAAGTAAAATAATATATAAAAATATTATATATGACATATTGTGTATAATATAAATAAAAATAAGAATGAAGTAGAAGATATCAATACAATGTGCCCCTTCATTTTATTTATCAGAAACCTATTGAGTGAATTCTGAATGAGTGCTAAGAAAGACTGAGTGGATAGAGTGGTCAATTCAACAGTCTCTCTTCTCAATGGAGCTCATACATTAAGCAAGTAATTATAATAAGAATGGCAAATGTTAGCAAAGGCAGAGTGATTTGAAAATGTAGGGAGCTCTCCAATCATTTCAAATTTAACATGAACATTTATGAAATATGGAAGTAGGATTAATAGAAAAGTGTAATTTGAGCACATATCAGGGTTCAGAAAGCAAAAGCCAGAACAGATTGAGGCGTATGAAACATTCCAAGACAATGGCAATGTAATTTTAGTCATGTTCAGAGCAGGGGAATAAATTTTTAAAGATTAGTTATACTACTTGCACAAGATAGTAGAATGTTGAGTTGGCAGAACTGTTCTACAAGCTGCACTGATCTACATTAAGGAAAATAAATGGGCTGGAAAGAGTTGAAGAAGGTTGAAGCCTGAGGTGGAGAAGTTGTGGAGAGCGTGCTTGACATGAGTCAGGTCTCTAGAAAACCATGCCAGTGCCATCATGCCTCCTGTAAGCTATGAAAACACAGTCAGTGTCAAAGATACTACCCATGTCTCATCGTAAAGTTCACACAAACCTGGCGACTGAGAAATCCTGTATCATTGTTTTGCCTTTGGTTTATAGTCTTACAGACATCATAGGTATATTGGGAGAACTCTGTTTCAGTCATTTTCCTCCAGATAATCTAATAATTTTGATTATTTTATAAAATGCATACTATATAAAATATGTGTAATTTTAGAATACTTGTAAAAATATAATATGAATCATCAACACTTGTAGTGTTTCGATGTTTGAAGAAACATCATGAAATTTATAGAGAGCTAAATAAATTGTTGCTTTTTGCTTAAACTAGGCAGTTGAAATGGCTATGAAAACTCATTCTGAACCAAGATTCCACAAATAACGACTGAAATTGCACAACAAATATTGATTGGTGATTTTAAAAAACCCTGTAATTTTTGAGAAACTGTGAAGAAGGGATAAAGTATTGGATAAGATCTATGTGATCATCTAGTTAATCTTTCATTACTTTGTTTATTCAACTTTAGGAGGACATTTAACACTCCAGTATGTCAGGTGCTGTGCTCCTCACTAGGAACACAAAGTTTAAGAAATAAGAGACCTGGGCCCTGACCTCACAAATGCTCGCACTCGAGTTGGAAGTAAGAAGGACATGAGAGCAATTATACCATAGCGTGGCACATCTAATAAGCAAATTTCCGAGGTCAGACGACAAGAGAATTATATATCATTAAGCCTTTGACTGGGATAGGGAAGATGTCAAAAAGAAAATGATGCTGTGTTTAAGTCTTATTTTTGTTAATTCAAGGACAAATTGCCTGCTGAGCACAGATATGCACAGAAATTTATAAAGGTACCTAGCCATTTTTAAGTATCTTAGGAATCAAGTAGAAAAATGCAAGTCAGGTGATTCACAAAAGTAGATTTGTAGCTTATATAACAAAGTACAAATAGTTTCAATTGACAAGTCAGTTCTAACCAATCTTTAGTTGTGTGTTACAAAGCTGTGTACTTGACACTGATTCATAAAGTATTTGTATCGATGACTTGGATGAACACATAAAACATAACTTTGGGAAAATAACAAAGCTGGGAGGGGTGGTTAAAACATTGCATATAGAATTAAAACAAAGACTAGAGATGATAAGTCAAATGTAATAAGATACATTTAATTATCAATAATAATTGTGAATTCTTGTTAAAATGAATTAAATAAATATAATTTGAAAGACTGTCTGTGACATCAGAACATAGAAGTCCTGCTATGACACAATGTGATTCAGGTACAAAAATAGACAATGAACATTTAATTCTTATGGAACATTAACAAATGTGTAAGGTCATTTCTTTATGATAATTGTTACCATAGCTTGCTCTGATTTAGACTCAATTCACAGTATGTTCCGTTCTGGGAAGCATGAGAATACTTTTATGCATTGTAATGTGGATTATATTGGACTCAGAGACCAGAGGTACCTAAAACATCAAGGAAGGCAAGAAAAGCAACTTAAAACACAAGCAGTAGAAGGGTACAGACCAGTGGGTGAGGTACCCCAGACGGATAATCAATAGGCACAATGACAGATATCCTAGAAGGCAAACCAGGTGTGGTCTCAGCAAGTTTGAGCTACTACAGCAATAGGAGAAAGTGCAGGCCCCATTGGATCAAGTGGATTTTTACTCCAGATGAATGACCCTACAAGGAATTGAAATAAATGGCAAAATGGCACCCTCTGAAATGACTCAAGGAAGGAGAAGAAGGCAAGATCCTGTTTTTAGGGGCAATGGAACACAAGAGCCAGAAAAATGAAATGTGCATCCTGAACATTAAAAAAAAGGCAATGGCCGCGGTCCTGGAGAATCCCAGTAGAATGCAGATTTCTTGGTTTCTGAAATTGATCCCTGACTTATGGGCAGGGTCAAGTCTACAGGTGACAGTGGCATCTTCCCATCTGGGAAAATAAGAATTACAGAGCTAATCAGGTTACATAAATAATTCAATATCCCCTCAACTCCACCTCACAGTTGATTCATTCCCAGTGAAATACATTAATTGAATGCCATCCTGTGAGTTGATCACTGTGCTAGATTTAGAGAATGTGAAAAAAGACAAAGCCAGTGCTTTGATATAAAGAATTCACATTTCTATAGGTAATGGAGAGTCATTGAAGATTTTCAAAGCCAGCAAATGACAGGCTTGGTTTTAGAATGATAACTAACAGCAAATGGAAGGGTTTAATAACCTATTCACATGGTTGCAGAAATGTAGGCTGATTTAAAACATTTGTTAAAATACATTACACATGTAACATTTTTATATGTATCTTTATTGGGAAAATAGTTTATGGGTATTTCAGAGAATATACCAAAATAATATAAATCAACTTCTAATTGCATAAATAATATATATTTTCTTTGCCAAAACTTCTAATCATATAGGTCACATTTTATGTGAAATTGAATTATTTGCATATGAATCAGAATCTATATAAAGTATTTATAGATCGCACTTCTTGAGAAAAATGTTAAACAAGGCAAATAACCCTAAATTTAAAAATTGTTGAAATGAGATTGTAAAGAGTTTACACTATTGCCACCAGGTGGAGCCATAGTGATAACTGTGGACGGTAACAGAAGTCTTCTTCCAACCTCTTCCCTGCATTTACATAATTATGTATTATGTTTATAACCATATTCAGAATTTGAGGCTTTCTAAATAAGTGAAACTCTATCTAAATGAGTCAACTGATTGTCTTCAGTAAATCAAACGTGTTGAGGAATCTGCCTCATTCTTTAACTGCTGTCTAATATTTCTTAGTGAAAAGATACTGTAATTCATTTAACAAGTCCCACATCCGTGGTCATTTAGGCATGTTACAATCATTCACTAATGCAAATGATGTCATAAAGATCATTCTTGAGCAATTATCTTTGCATACTTAGGAAGTGTGTCTAGAGTATATATTTTACCAGAAGAAATTTCTGATTCAAAGCAAATCAACCTTTTAAATTCTAATATGGCCCCAATTGTTCTGTTCAAAGGTTCTAACAATTTAAGCTCTAGCCAGCATTGTGTAAAAATGCTCAATTTCTCTTATTTCACCATGATGGAATGTTTTCTATCTTTTTAAATATTGCCACCAGTTATAAAAATGGTGGTGGTGGTATCATTCCTTCATTAATAGTAAGGTTGAATAGCTTTTAAATTTTTTCGTGAGCTTTCATGTTCTTGTTCAGTGATTTGTTCATATCATTTGCCCATTTTTTACCTTTTTTTAAGGGGTTACCTTTTTGGTTTTTTTTTAATTGGTCAGAACTTTTCATATATTATGGATATTAGTCATAAGATTGTTGTGTCTGTTATTTTGTTTTCTCTTAATTTGTCACTTATCTTTGAATTTTGATAATGGTGGCTTTTATTGCAAATGAGTTTTAATACTTTTTGTGGTTAAACTTAAAGATTTTTCTACCAGTATATAGCTTCTGGTTCTTGTTTTGTTTGGCTTTGAAAGAGTTTTCCAAAATTTTACATCTCTACATAAATATTTCTTTTATTTAACAGTAATGCCATTATATGAGGGTTTTTAACATTTAGTATTTTTGTGCATGTGGAATTTATGTTTTTATGGATATCCAAATATCTGCACACAATGTATTGAATAGACATTTTGCTTCTCCAATGATTTGAAATATTACCTTTATCATGTACCAATTCCAAACGCACATGATTCTGTGACCAGATATTCTGTACTGTTCTACAGCTGACCAAATATTCATATTTCCACACAAATAAATTCAATGGATCACAGAATTATTCCCACTTCCAAGAAGCAGGAAAGAGAGCTCGGAGAGTTAAGGGATTTACATGAAGTCCCGTGACTACACTGATGGCGGATGGACCTGGAAACCCATTCTTTTTTATTTCTTGGTCATCAATATTTTTTCTAATTCTGCTGCAAACTATGACTTGAAACCAACAGAAAGTAGGTTACATTTACCCTCTTTTATGTTGACTCTTTTTCAGTAACAGAAGAAGTGTGTAGTAGGTCCCCATGCCAGAACGGGGGCACGTGTATAAATGGGAGGACTGGCTTCATCTGTGCTTGCCGGCACCCTTTCACTGGCCACAACTGCACGGTCAAGCTGGTGGAAGAAAATGCTTTAGCTCCAGGTAAGAAAGTGCACGCACCCGTGGGTTTATTCACTGTCTCATGCAAAAACAGTTTTAGAAATATTTGCGAAGGAACACTTTAGTCTGCTTAATCTGGCCTCATTTGAGGATTAATTCCTTTTACTTAGGAAATTTACTGAATAATGCACATGATTTACAAGTAAAAATGTCTTTTTTGTCAGACAAATTCATATTGATGTACACTTGTTGAAATTTTCAATATTGGTATAATAGAGGCAGCTTTTTTACCCCTTATGCACCCTAAAAGAAAATCTCTATCCCTTAAACAAGTTGTTAAACTGTATCAGATACATATCATATCAGATATGGCCATTTAAATGAAACTTTCATAAGTGCTTATCACTACAGCACATCTTCCATGAAGGTCAAGCTAATAGTGGCTGTTGACTAGGTAAGGACTAGTAGCACATGCTCGAATGTATTGAGTAGAATAAGATGCCTTTCTGTCCATTTACCTTGTAATTATTGGTTGCTATAAATTTACTTCAAGAGTGTACCATTTCTGATTTCTTTAAAATGCATTCTCTTTAATGAGAGCAAAAAAAAAAACAAAAAAACATTTCAAAGCAGGCTTTGAATATGCTGCATACTGAAGAGTACATTTTTTAGTCTATTTTTAAATCTCAGCCTTTGTTAGTACATTTGGCATTAATTACATAGAAAATTCCTTTTGTCTACTTCTCTATAGTGCATATGACTTCATTTGGTTTTCGTTTAGCCTCTAGAAACTGTTTGACAAGGTGCTGGAAACATTGTTTCTGCATCATGTCAGCTTCAGTGGCTTCAAGGGGCCTTAAAACGTTCTGGCATACCATAATAATCATCGAGTGCTTTGAATCCCCTTATCCCTGGAGAGATCAAAGCAATATGCAAATTAATCTTTGAGGCATTTTTATGAGGGAGGTAGAATGTTATTATCGGTCTAGTTCTGTCCTGATCTAAATGGGGAAACTGAGGCTCAGAGACACTGCTTTCTGGTAACACAGCCAGGAGAAGAGGCAGGATCCAGACACACCTGCCCTTGTTAAATACGACGAGTGACCTTTTACTTCTGCTAATCCTTTTTGTAATGGAGACGAATGATAAAGAGATGAGGAAAGGCAAAACAAGGTAAAAACATAAAAATTAACTCTTTCCATTTATTTTCTTTTACAGATTTTTCCAAAGGTTCTTACAGATACGCACCAATGGTGGCGTTTTTCGCATCGCATACATATGGAATGACTACACCTGGTCCTATTCTATTTAATAATTTGGATGTCAATTATGGATCTTCATATATTTCAAGAACTGGAAAATTCAGAATTCCGTATCTTGGAGTATATGTTTTTAAGTATACCATTGAGTCATTTAGTGCTCATCTCTCTGGATTTTTGGTGGTTGATGGAATAGATAAGCTTACATTTGAATCTGAAAATATTAACAGTGAAATACATTGTGATAGGGTTTTGACTGGGGATGCCTTGTTGGAATTAAATTATGGGCAGGAAGTGTGGCTACGACTTGTAAAAGGAACAATTCCAGCCAAATTTCCTCCAGCTACTACATTTAGTGGTTACTTGTTATACCGTACATAAATTAACATGAAAGGCAGACTCTCACCCCTACTGAGAAGCAGCCAGTGTTTTTATTTACCTTTGCATACACATCTGCTCTGTTTTTAGTTTTTCCATACAACATGAAAATCAGCTTCTTTTTAATCTGTAGTAAGACTGAGTTTGTTTATTTCACAAAATTATTTGAATATTTTTAGATAACCTGAATATGAAGGGGTTCTTGCTCCTAAAGAGATTTAGTATTACAGAAAACAAAGTGCATGTATTAGCATAACTATTTTTTTCTTATGTGAAGTCATTTCAATGTAAAGTAATATAAGATGGTAATCACTCAATATTATCTGTCACAGTAGTCTTTCCAAAAAAAAAAACAACAAAAAAAGCATTAACTGTGTTATTCTCTGCATATATATATTCAAATAAAGTACTCTAAGATTGAGAAGTGTTTCTTTTTCATTTTGATATTTACTATTTACTGTTGAGTTGATCAATTTTATATATTAAAATTTTCATTTGTAATCAAAATTAAGAAAGTTGAGTTTGACCCTTGAAATATGCTTAACTATGTTCTCTTTCTATAATTAGAGGATAAAGTAATAATTGACAAATATTTGAACATTTACACTGAAGCCTAAGGATATGTAAGTGGATCTTTTACTTGTCTCCACTATATGATACCTACAGGGGGAAATAAAACCTTTCCCTTAGAGTGTCCTTCTGCAGCAGCACATTCAGACCGGCCTGGATCTTTATACAGAGTACAAAATACTCGGAAGTAATGCTGTGATTTATGGGGTGCTCACTATGCCCTGATTCTCTTCTAAGAAACTTACATGTGAAATCTCCTTGATCTCTCACAAAGACTCTCACAAAGGTGGGTATTATTGTCATTATTTTTATAGTTGAAGAAACTGAGACAGAGAGAGATTAATAAACAGACCAATTTCCACAACTTCTACAGACTGAGGCAGAATTTAGAATGAGGCTATATCTTCTCCAGTATACACATTTATCCTTTCCTTGTATTGCCTCCTACGGGTGTACCCAATTTATTTACTAATCCCGTATCAAAGGTCATTGAGATTGTCTTCAATGTTTTATTATAACAATACTAGAGACCCGAAGCATGAAGATTCGTGCAAGAATGGGCCTTCCTTCCCCTGGTTGCCTGCACTGCTTTCACTCCAGCCCAGAGCCACCTTTCCACATTCCCATGCTGCCCAGAGGCCCAGAGTGGCTAGGGTGGTGTGGAATGCCTGCATCGTCACCATGGCGATAACGCAAGCATCCCGCCCCCAGCCCCTTGTTGCCTGCATATGCAAATTAACCCACCATCTTTGTTGGGTTAATTTGCATACTCACTCCTGATTGGCTGGTGGGTGTAGTGAAGGTATGGTCAATTTGCATCTTTCTCTTTTATTAGTGTAGATTGTTGTAGTGAACACCCTTAAAATAACTTCCTACATATTTGACAAAGTATTTCTGAAGAATTGATTCCTATAAGAAATAGTAAAAATAATGAAAAATTTTTGGTGCAAGCATTTTTCATAAACTAATTTATTTAATGCTTCTATGAATTTCATATTAAACCCATGAGATACATGCTACATGTTATTGTCTGCTTTCCACAGATGAGAAATAGGCACATACAGAGCAAGTGATTTTTCTAATATTAGAGAAAATTATGGAAAATTTCTTGAACAAAGAATAAGCATATATTTTTATTTTGATAGCTATTATCAAATTGCCCTCAAAAAGATTTCTACCAATCCATAGTTCCATTTTGTTCATGTAAAATAGTACTCTTTATTCCCTACACATCTTCATCAAAACTCACAATTTTTAAATGCTGCCAATCTTGAAAGTGAACACAGTATTTCCTTATAAGCAGATATTTGAAAAATTTTCAAATTTGCTGCAACTTGAAAGCATATGTCTAAAGACTTGTACACAACATGTAATACTATATGTAATACTTTAAACAATAAAGAATTTAAAATTTTTTAAAAAGATTTGTACACAAATATTCGTAGAAGCTTTATTTGTAATAGATAAAAATTAGGTACCATTCACATGTCCACCAACAAATGAACAGTTAATCAAACTCTGGTTTATTCATAGAATTGAGCAGTGATTTTCTTTTCTTTTTAGAATTTTATTTGGTTTTTAATACATTTTGAAATTTTTATTTTATTGATTCCAGAGAGGGAAAATGGGAGAGAGAGAGAGAAAAAACAAAAAAACTTTGATGTGAGAGAGATACAGTTGCCTCCCATACATGCCCCAACTAGGGATTGAACCCACAACCTAGGTATGTGCCCTGACCAGGAATCAACCCTGTGACAGGAGGACACTCCAACCAACTTACCAGGCAGGGCTGAAAGCAGGGATTTTCAACTGATGTGCCACATCAGGTACACAGGTGTGCTGCAAAAATTTTTAAAACATGCAATACATAACTATTTAATCAGGGGTCCTGACCTCTTTTCCTTAAGATTGTCAGATTTAAAAATGACAACAGCCAACAAAACAATAGCTGTTCAGTGTGAATGAATCAAAACTATGCCAATTTTTTGTCAGATCAGCAAAAAATATAACATATTTTTGGGTGTGCCACAGAATTTTAGTAATTAGTTTATGTGTGCCATGAGATGAAAAAGGTTGAAAATTGCTGGAGAACTGCCAAGCAATCAAGAGGAATCAACACCCTACAACACATAGGAAACTCATAATCAATACAGGAGAAGATTTCAAACTACAACCTGAGAAACCTTAGCCACCACTGCAGGCAAGTGTGAGATGAGCATAAAAAAAAAATTGACATGTAATTGACATAAAACATTGTATTCATTTTCAGTGTACTATGTGATAATTTGATATAGGTACATATTTTGAAATGATCACTACAATAAGTTTAGTTAACAACCATCACCTCACATAGTTATAATATTTTTCTTGTGATGAGAACTTGTAAGATCTATTCTCTTAGCAATATTCAAATATACAATAGAGTATTGCTATCTTTAGTATTACCCATCAGAACGTCTTATATTTAGCCAAATTAGCAAGGCATTAATACCCCAGCCTCACTCTATAGACTCGAGCAGCCAGGGAAGTTGTAAGCTAGATGCTGACAAGTGGAGGCTGGGTAACTGACAATTTCTATTCTGTTTTGTGTAAATGTGCTATTTTCAAAATATTTGGCAGGTTTTTTGTTTGTGTGTTTATAAGTTCAATTTCTCAATCTTTTTTTTGGGGGGGGGGTGGTGCAGGTTTTGATAGTTTCTGTAGTCCCTGCTTAAAATTGATTACAATTGAAAATGCTTTTCATTTTATTTCTTCAAGAACTCGTAGACTAAATAGAATTTTTGTCTTACAAATATATGTTTCAACATAGATTCCAGTGATTTCAATGTACTGCTTTTTCTTTAATATTAGCATAACAGAAAGAAGCAAATGATTTGACAGTATTTGTCACAGCCATGCACAATTTAGTTCATTGATTTTGTAATTAGATAAAAACATTTAGCATTAAATGATGTTTTGGTATTTGAAATTTTAATTATTAATATTATTTTTTAAGTATTTGTAAAAATACACAAATGACAAATTGCCTCTAATAACAAAGAGGCATTATAGCAATTTTTTTCAATTGATTCGAGAGAGAGAGGGAGAAAGAAGAAGAGAGAGGAAGAGAGAGGAACATTGATGTGAGAGAGAAATATCCATTATTTGTCTCCCGTATATACCCTGACCCAGGAATCAAACCCAGTACCCTTCAGTGCACTGGACGACACTCTAACCAACTGAGCCATAGCAGCCAGGACCATTGTAGCAATTTTCAAGTTGCTATGATATTGTTTGGCTATTTTTTAAAAAATACACCCAACATAATGTAAGACAATTAATTTGGTAAACCTATATAATAAAAACATAATATGCAAATCAACCGAACGGCAGAACAACCGGTCGTTATGATGCGCACTGACTACCAGGGACAGATGCTCAACACAGGAGCTGCCCCCTGGTGGTCAGTATGCTCCCACAGAGGGAGTGCCACTCAGCCAGAAGCTGGGCTCATGGCTGGCGAGCCCAGCTGTGGTGAGGGAGCCTCTCCCACCTCTGCTGCAGGGGGGCAGTAAGAGCGAGGGGTCCCGGACTGCGGACTGCGAGAGGGATGTCTGCCTGCCAGTTTAGGCCAGGAATTGGGCCTAAGCCAGCAGGCGGACATCCCCCGAGGGGTCTCAGACTGTGAGAGAGAGCACAGGCCTGGCTGAGGGACCCCCTACCCCAGTGCACGCATCTTGGGCACCGGGCCTCTAGTGTTTTTATAGTTGTCCTGATCAAACTTACCCATGTATAAAAAATATAGCACTGGGATTTTCTTGATGCTTTTTCTATGGAGACAGTAAATTTTTATGAGTATTATTTCATAGATTGAATTCCAGAGCACTTCTCTCTCACAAGACCTTCCTGCCCAGGAAGTTACAAAGTACACTAAGGCAATTTCATATCCATTCATTCATCAGTTATTTAGTAAATATCTACTTTGTGATAGGCAGGATAAATCTAATCTAATAAAAGAGAAACATGCAAATTGACCATACCTTCGCTATACCCCAAGTCACACCCACCAGCCAATAAGAGTGACTATATGCAAATTAACCCAACCAAGATGGCGGCTGGCAGCCACGGAGCTGGAGCAAGCAGGAGGCTTGGCTGTCCCGGCGATGGAAGAAGCCAAGCTTCCCACCTGCCCTGGCCGGCTGTGGCATCTACTAGAGGCAACAAAGTTTCAATTATAGAAGATAAATAAATCCCAGATACCTGCTTCCAGCCAGCCTCCACTGGGAGCTTGGGGGGCTGAGGGCCATGGCCAGCCTGCAAACAGCTATCAGCCCCTCACCCAGGCTGGCCAGGAACCCCAGTGGGGACCCCCACCCTGAAGGGGCTGTGGCCAGCCTGCAAACAGCCATCAGCCCCTCACCCAGGCTGACCAGGCACCCCAGTGGGGACCCCCACCATGAAGGGGCTGTGGCCAGCCTGCAAACAGCCATCAGCCCCTCACCCATACTGGCCAGGCACCCCAGCAGGGACCCCCACCCTGAAGGGGCTGTGGCCAGCCTGCAAACAGCCATCAGCACCTCACCCAGGCTGGCCACACCCTCAAGGGGTGAGGGTCCCTGCTGGGGGGCTTGATCAGTCTGCAAACAGCCCTCAGTCACTCATCCAGGCTTGCCAGGCACCTCAGCAGGACCCCCCTCCCTGAAGGGGGTGTGGGCCAGTCTGAAAACGGCCCTCAGCCCCTCACCCAGACCTGTCAGGCACCCCAGCGGGACCCCCACCCTGATCCAGGACACCTTCAGGGCAAACCAGCCAGCTCCCACCCATGCACCAGGCATATAATAAAAGAGTAATATGCGAATTGACCCTAACAGC